AGGGGGAGATTCTCCTTGTTTTTAACATGTTTGTTGGTTAAAACAGTCTGAAGTAGCGAAATGCCTGGGAACATTCAAAAATTGAATTAGCCTTGAACTTTTGTTAAAGAAGAAGCACCAATTCAACTTTGGACTGGATGAGAAGTTAAGTCACTCATAGGTATTTGGTATATCATATTTAAATGAGAAGTTTTGCCAAAAGAAGTAATTTTACAATCTTGCAGTATGCGACAAAACAAGGGCAGCCTGACTTTAAATTTGAATAAATAGCAATATTCAACAACTAGAACATCCAGAAGATGGTGCAGCTCAAAATGAAAATATCAAGTCAAATGCAAGAAGTAAAGCAATGGAGGAAGGGATGATATCGTTAGAGGAAAATGCCAAAAGTTATAGATAAGATAATTTCCTAAGAATTCCAGGCAAAAGGAAATACTCAACTTAGTTAATAACTATCTAGTAATCCTGCTAGTTTTTAATGAATGATTTTGACTTTACATTAATTTACTATACAAAAAGTATAGAAAAAAGAGATTATGAGCAATAATCAGAATCTTACCACATGTACTGCATCAAAAACGATTTTGATTATTTGTTACTTTACTATGCATTATTATTTTTTTATAGAACAAATAGGTACGACCGTTAAGTGCTGCTGAAAGAAAGTACTATTTACACTACTCATCGCCGCCTTTCTAAAAAGTTTTTTTTTTCAGGTTTATATCCATCTACTGGCGTTAAGCCTCCCTTACACCAACATAACCTAGTCTACACCCATTTTTTTTTTGTTTTCATCGAAAATATAAAATCATAAACTCGCATACAAGACTTCTAGGGGCTTTCTTTTGTCAAATAAATAAAAAATAAAATAAAAAATATATGTCATTTTCCGATTCAAGTAAAAAACAAAATACCATCCTAACCTAAACAAGAAACATTAGACACTATCTAATACCAAAAAGGCATAGAGACCTGTGTATAAAAGACAAAAAAATAAAATACAGTTTTCCAAAAAAAACAAAAACTAATAAACTGTTAAAAAAAAAAGTCATTCTTCCACAAAATACTGGTTGAAACTATTTTGGAAAATAGTATTAGTTAAGTATCGCTATGAACAAGGCAAATAACATCGACAGGATAGTGATTTATTTAATTTGTAGTTTAGGTATGTTTTAGCAAGGAAAGCCTAGCCTGGTTTTAAACGGTTTTGAGATGTGCGTTCAAAAATAAAAGTCAGTAAATCCTATGAAGTTTGTCCAACTATTTCAAGTTTCTTATCCAAGTAATGTTTGCTATAAAATAAACCAATAATCCGTGTGACCGATTTTAACTTATAGCATATGTTTTTGTGCCAAGTTAATTAAAGAGAAATAGTTCAGAACAATAATTAGCAATTTTATAACAATTTGTGATAATAAAAAAAAAATATTTGTACACGATTTATGAAAATTATTTGTATTCAAAACTCAAACTTATAGTTTCTTCTCGCAAAATATTATCAACACCATTATTTTTCTAGTAGGTACGTGGCCTTACTTTTCCATTGTCAAGTTAAGATTGATCAGTCAAAGTAGCAGAATTAAAAGTATATAAGTGATATACTTAAATCAAAACTTGGCTCTGATATATTTGAGTTTTTTACCAACTTATTTCTATTTAAGCCCCTAATAACATCTATGTCACTTTCAACTCATCAATCGGTAGAAAACATTATTATTCAATGTTAGAGATATTCCAAATGAAAGATAAAATGCGTTTTGGTGTTATGAGAATGAAAAGAGCATTATTAGTTTACGTCGCTAAAACTACTGGGTGAACTGATTATTAATTAATTAATTAATTAATCGCAGGTGTATGATAAATTAAGCTTTCTAAAATCTAGAGCACACATCCCAAACCACCGTTTAAAACCACACAAAAATAATAATAAAAAATAAAAACAGACAGTTTCAAAAAAAAAAAAAAGGAAAATTCACAAGGCAGAAGATATCTAATAATTGAAGAAAATTGCACTTCTTTAAAACTGTACAATATTTTATCGTTAAAAAATTATCAAGTACATATTTACAAAAAATATTGTCCAGCTTTTATTGACCGAGCAAAATGCGGAGAATTTAAAGTTTAGACCTGAATCAGCATTTTTCTTGGTGCAAAAAAAAAAAAGTTAATGGATATGAAGTTTTCAATTAAGAAACGAAAATTAAAAAGACGATTTGACAGCTGCTACAGCACAATCATTATATGGAAAACCAAAAATCTCACTACGCCATCATGTTTAGTATAAAATTAAAGTCATTGTCAAATTGCACAATTGAACGGTAAATGTATATATAAAATATTTAACTGCAAATTCCAAGTAGAAGAATTTCGATTGCAAATTTTACTAAATGGAATTTTGCAGTTTTTCTTTTGGTATCATGGCATTATTTGAAGAAATTATATCAAATAGCTCATTATTTCAAAAATTGGAGCTTCCACTAAAAGGTAAAATTGCATAATCAAGCTACCAGTCAACAATCACAATGCAAATCTACAATAAGCTCATTTCGATACGAAATTTCTTCCAATAACACTTATGAAATACCAAAAATACAAATTAAAAAAAAAATAGTAAATTCATGCATTATATAATAATTACACTGTATAATATAGGTAGTTATTATTTGAAAAAAAAAACTGTGAAAAGGAGCCTACTTTGCTGCTATCAAATCTAGGGTGATATATGTTTAAATATAAAATCATCTAGGGTGTTATTCGCCTAAAAAAGCCCATAGAATAGTAGTGCAACAGTAGTTGGCTGTTTTAGTTGGATACAATAAGACACTTGAGTTTTACAAAGAAAAGGAGCCACAAAAAATAGATTATGGTCTAGTTTAGTTAAACTTCCAGCTCAGTAATAAACTTTTCATGCAAGTTTACAACTAGTTTTATTAAACAGTACACTGGTTGGTTGATGTTTTTTTTAGTACAGATGTTGTTGATAAAATTATAATAATGTTAAAAAAGTACATTGGTACGAAAAAGCCGTCGCTGTGCATGACTGCTACGGGAATGTCAAGAATCCATTGTGACTTCAACAAGAATTTACGAAAATTCTAGAACTAAAATTGATTTTAAATATAAATAATAAGCCTAGGAATTAGCACTGATTTTGAGATTGCAGCAATGAACTCTTTGCAGGCAGTATTCGCCAGGGCTCGAATATCCGGATGTGATGAAATTGTATGTGATAAATTGGAAAGTGATGAAATGTCTGGTGATAAGATGTCGCGTGATGATATATCGTGTAATCAGATATTGTAGATTCGGAATTTGAACGAAATTTTGCAGATGGTAGAATGAAACAAATTGGAAGTGAATCTGGGACTTAGAAATGGAATTATGATCTTTTTTTCCACATCAATACTAGAAAATCTTGTAAAATTCTTACATAAAATCACCTTTCAATGCCTCTGAAAAATACTTTCAGGGGGATTTAAAGCTTTTAGCACCAATTGTGTCTTTTTAATATATAAAACAAGTCGGAAATGAATCTGGAGCTTAGAAATAGAATAGAAGACAAAATTTCCCAGTCAGTATTGGAAAGGTTACTTATTTTGCAATCAAAAACAAACATCCGTAATAAACAAAACCCCACCAAGAGTGAGCAAATCAACATTATCAAATGCTAGAAATTGAAACATGACACAGTTTTCAAGTTAAGCTATAGATTGTTGTTTGTAAGGGTGAAATTGTTGAGACTATAATCCATTAAACTTATTAACACTAATTAGCAAGACAGAAGAAAAACTTTCTCATTAGAGTAAGAATCGAAAAACAATGTTGTTGATCTAATTTAAGCACAAAAAGCTGTTTTTCAAAAAAGTCGGTCAATGCAATAATATAAAAACCATATCTTCTGTAAAGCCATGCTATATCAACTACAATTCTATTATTTATTTTTTTAATTATTGCTCCAAAGTTTCTTGGCAAAAAACTTCTGGGATTGTAAAATTAAAGTTACTAGACTGATTTGAAAGATGTTGCCAAAAAGAATATCTACTGAGACAATTTACTGTTAAGGTAAAACCCCTTACAAAAAAAGTCCCAATTAATTTTAAAGTAGTGTATTTTAATTTCATGCAAATCCTCAATCAATTTTCTCAAAAAAATTCTTTCAGTTAAGGCCCCCACAGACACTCAGTTTTTTTGCACAGGCTGAAATTTGCGCAAATTAATCTGTACCTGTGCCTTTCGCACACACGCACTTTCCACACAGGACGACAAGGATATTTTTGTTCTACAGTGAAAATGGTTTGTGCAGGCAAAATTTCAAGCAAATCTTGAAATTACTCAGGCAAAGAAGTATCCACTTGTGCCAATATGCCTGCGCGAACCAGGTTTGCACAGTCGGCCTGTGCAAAATCACTAAGCATCTGTGAGAGCCTTTAAAGGTACAATCTAAAGGCTTTTAAAGGAAATAACCCTAAGTAAACATATCAAAAAATACAAACACCGCAAAAACATTAGCTACCAAAAAATTCTGAACAACAATAAATAAAATAGCCAAACATTAACTTTTTAGCCAATGGTGTATTGATTAGTTAAAAAATTAAATAAAAAACATTGTAGCCAGGCATAATTAATTCATTATGCATTATAATAAAAAAAAAATATGTTCCAAAGTGAAATCTAGGTATAATAGCAGTGATTTTGGAAATTCAAAAAAAAAAAAAAAACTAACATTTTGGAACACTTTTAGTACTTGAAGCAGGAAACATGTAAAATAGGTTCTAGACTAAATATAGCACTGACTCTTGTCTCAGGTGAATTTATTGAAATAAAAATACTCGAAAAATATTTCCTTGTAAAAACAATAAAAAAAAAAAATCAGAAAACTTATAGTAACTTTCGAGTATTTTTGCATTAGAAACAACTCTTCGAAATTTAATAGCAACATAGCTGGCTCGAAAACTATTTTTTTAAAATTTATAATAGTTTAAGAACTGAATTTAACATACCTTCGATCCTCTTTCGTTAAAAATAATCTCTACATCTAGTATTGGTCCAAATTGCTGAAAAAAAAAATACAATGTTAACTTGCAAACCTTCAAAATAAATTATTAGGCTTACACCAAACATGGCCCTTAGGTCGGGGTCTCTAAACCTAAATGGAATGTTCGAGACGTGTAACCTTTTCGGTTGGTTCGCCAAATCAATTGCTGCCTGCGCGTTCTGAGCTGCCTTTGTACTGTCTGATGCCTCTGAGGTAGGCGGTTGCCCTGTGCCGTTCTGTTGAATTTCAGTCTCCTAGAAATAATACACTCGATCAGTGATTAAATAAGGAGTTTGGTTTTGTGAGTCATCATCTAAATAAAGATCAATACTCAGTATTTGAAACAGTTTCAGAAGTGATGGCAGGTGTAATACCTACTCTAGCTCATGAATAAATGAACGGAGTGCAGTTAATCAGTCTTCAATGAACAAGGCAAAGTTTACTATAAATGGAAAAGCTCTATTAATTATTATTCACAGTCTATACCCATTTTTCTAACTAAAATCAATTTAATTATAACAGACAAGTTCTTTCGTGTTCATTAAATGATGAATTTAAATTATTTTCCTTTCACATGACACTGAAAATTCAGTAGCATCAAATAATACAATTCGCACCATTTTAGCGAACTGGCCATTTTGGTTAGTTAACTCTATAGAAGAGGCAATTTAGATTAACGATGTGCTATTTCCTGTCCGAGCAATACTGGTACTTGTTTTCATGAGAACCATGCTATTTACAAGTGTTTTAATGCAATAAATAATTAATTGTTATTTTGAAGGGCAGAGCTTGTTTTTTTTTTGCAATTTAATCTAAACTGAGTTGTGCAAGACCTAAAAACATTCGATAGAATTTAAAAAAAAACTGTATATTTTCAAAAATGTCTCTGATACCTACACTGTGATCATAGATTAGTAAGAGTCACGTGTTGAAAGACCACACCAGAAGTCCAATGAATGCAACAATGGTTGTTATAGTTAGTTTTTACATAACCTGCAGTAATTACAAACAGCATATGGCGACCATAGACAAATTAAAGATAGAGAGGAAAATATTACAATTATTATTCGACGAAAATGGTAAAGATTTGGACGAAGAGTTGAACTGCCAAAACATTTCCAAAAAAAAAAATTATGAAGCCTTGAAGGTTTTAGAGGATAAATAAGCCTCTTCAGTATTGACGACAAAATTTGGGAGATGACAGTGACCCAAGGATCCAACGATACCGAAATAGAAGCTGAAATGGTAGCAGTAGAGGTTTTTAGGGAGAAGATTATAGATTACAAGAATAAGTTAGACTATTATTTCCTAAGTTGTGAAAGTCAGGCTGAACCAAATGTAACAAGCATAAGTTTCTTCTTCCTAAATTGAACCTGAAAAAATTTGATGGGGATGTCAAAAAATGGATAGCTTTCTGGGGGCAATTTCGCAAGATAGATGAAGATAGATATAGAATATAAGTTTGAGTATCTATTGCAATCGATCGAAGAAAATTCTCCTGCTAGAGCTTTGATTGAAGGTTATCCACCGACAACAAGCGGAATGTAAATTATTCCCAACTACAAAAAAACTTAAAAACCTAAATAAATTTGATAGCTATAATAAAGTATTCCTCTAAGCTCAGAAAATACAATTCACTATATTCCTCATCACGCCGTCATTAAAGAGTCTAATAATACTAAAAAACTGAGACTGGTATTTGATGCTTCGGCTAAAGATAGTAACGGAAATTCACTAAATAATAGTTTAGAAAAGGAACCTAATCTTATTGAATTGATACCTGAAATTTTAGTTGAATTTAGATTAGGTTTGATAGGTATAATTTCCGATATTAAAAAAGCTTCTCTTATGATTAGTATAGCAGGAAAAAAACAGAGATGTATTAAGATTTTGATGGTGGAAAGATGCTTCTATGAATGAAATCAAAATCTATAGACATGAGTTTCCTCAAGTCCATTTTTGCTCGGAGCTACTATTATGTATCATTTGGAACAAACTTTTTCAGACACAATAAGCTGAAAGAGTAATTTTACGTGGATAATTATGTAACGAGTGTGGATAGTATGCAAGAGTTAAAAACATTTGTAAATGAGTCTAAAACATGTTTGTCTTCAGGTAGATTTGATTTGAGAGGATGAATATATAATGCCCAAAGGTTCTTTAAAGAAGACGAAAATGAGAAGCCTTGTAAAGGAAGTTGAGTATGAGTTTTCGGAATGGTATGGAATTTTGAACAAGATGTACTTTGTTGTGATGCCTCATTTCTAGAACAAATACCAAATATTCCATTTTCAGAAAGAGGCATTTTGTCTGCTGCGCATCGTGTATTTGATCCAATAGGTCAACAGAAGAATTCATTTTTTCTTTGAGAAGATTTATTGCCAGAAGAGGAAGAGTATCTGTTATTTATTCTGATAATGGAGGTAACTTTCATGGAACTGAAAATCTTTTTAAACAAATAGACTAGAACGAAATACTAAAATTCTCTTCAGTGACAAGAATAAAATGGAATTCCATTCCACCCACAGCCACTTGGTGGGACGGATGGTGGGAGAGAGTAGTACCGAGGGGTAAGTCACCTTGGTATTTTATTGTACAAGCACTTGGTAATTATTGGTATTTATAGGTATTTTTGGTATTTATGGTATTTTTTGTGGTACTTCTGGTAATACTTGGTAATTATGGTAATTTTTTTGGTAATATTTGGTATTTAATTGATACCTATTTATCATGGCCGGGACACAATGCGCATGCGCGGCAACATATGACGCCATTTATTTTATTACCCAAAAAGCTTTTGTCTCGGGATTTCTGTTGAATAATTTATTGAAAAATTATTGGAAAATAAGAAAAATATAAGGAATATACTTAATTATTTTATTATTAAAACATTATCTACAAATAATATTTTATCTATTCTATATTCAGTTCACATGCCATGTAAAATTCTAAGGGCCGGCCCTGACTGAAAAGGTTGGTTTATTAGCTTTTATGTTGAGGTGGTTGATTTATTGCAGCAGGTGTCTACGATATAACTTGAACATTACCACAGCATATACTATAACAATCAACAGGCTAACTCTCACGCGCATCTTTTCTGCGCACGCCGCCATTAGGGAATACCATCCTGTCATTGAACGGCAGGGACGCCGAAATTTTATTTTACTTGTTTATTTCTGGTGGAGGTCATAGACGTGCGGTGTAGAGTGGAATTTAAGCTGTAATTTTAGCACAGGATATAGTTTTAGATACTGTGATTTTAGTGTATTCTTAGTGTTGTCATTTATGTTGTTATCATTCTTGTCAATTTAATAATATAGTATTTTTAATACCTATTTAGAAGTACCAGTCGTTCTAGTGACAAAACGTATGTCGCTTCTTGACACACAGATAAAATTAGATTAGGATTTTCTATGAAATTGACGTATTAGCAATCAACGTTCGTTTTTGTTGGTAATTTTTTGTTTCATCTGATTTGTGATTGATAAATAAGGATGGGGTTATTCTAAATGGGTATTACAAATATTATAATAATAAATTGGTAATTATAAATATTATTATGTATAAGTAATAATTAAATTATTTTATCAGTTGATTCAATACTAAAAGTTCTCAAGCCATAGCCAACGTTTTATAAAATTCCATTGTCTTCCTTCTAAATCAATAACTTTATTTAGAACCAATACGACTCTGTGACACGAAAGAAAAAAACCTAAATTATTGTTAATCAGGCCCTGTTTCGTATCCCAAAATGGCCGCTAGTGACGTCCCGACCATGAATTCTTTTATTACACGGGCTGTCATTCGAGTTAGCCTGCAGATTGCAGCCCCACTTAGAGTATGCAACAGCAGAAGTTTCTTAGATTCACGGATCCTTAACTTTCTGGTAATTATTGGTAGGTATTTCTTGGTAATTGATTTGGTAATTATTGGTATTGTATTGGTAATTATTGGTATTGTTTTGGTAATTATTGGTATTTTTCTGGTAATTATTGGTATTATTTGACAACTACTAGTATTTTTCTGGTAATTATTGGACTTTTTTTGGTATTTATCAGTATTTTTGGTAATGTTTTTTGGTAATTATTGGTATTTTTTGAAGAAAGTGGTAATTTATTGTACAAAATTTTAAGGGTGACTTACCCCTCGAGTAGTACGTATGATTAAAAAGTTGCTTAGAAGAAATTTGGGAAAAAGATGTGTTGCTTATAATGAATTACATATACAGTTTTATGTGATTGTGAAGCTGTGGTGAATGCTCGGTCTCTTACTTACAATGAAAATTATACCAATGGGGATTTGACACCAATAACACCAGACTCGTTTTTGAAAAGTTTAGTCAGCAGTGAGATACCAGATTTAGATCAAATTGAAAAAATTAGTTTAAAGAAACGTTTAAATTACTTTCAAAATATTATTAGAGCATTTAGAAAACGATTTAGAAATGAAGATCTAGCTACATTGGTGCAGTCTTAAAAGGAAAAATACACAAACATTAAAGTTGGAGAAGTCCTAATTCAAGCCGAAAATATATAAAGAACAATGTGGCCTATGGGAAAAATTATAGAATTTTACCCAGGACAAGATCAAGTGATTAGAGCTGTGAAAGTAAAAAGGTCTAATGGAACTCTCATAAAACCAATACAACGCATAGATACGAGATTGTTATGCCTCCAACAACCTATTCATGCTTTGACACCCCAAACCTTGGATAAGGAGAAAAATCAGAATATCGACGAAGAGAAGACCATTCAACAAGAAAACCTCGAAGAAAATCAACAATCTCAAGAAATTTTTGATGTTCAAACAAATCCCTGACTCAAAATCGTTTTGTTATTATTTTAACTTTGCCCGACGTCAGAAAATAGTTGAAAATATTCGGATGAAAAGTGGCGAGAAATTTTTCAGCCAATAGGAGTTCCGTCGTACCATCGGACGGTCGGATAACGGACGCATGAAACTCCGGCCTATCACATGTACAGTAGAGGTCTGTTTCTGCGTCGGTTTCTGCAGAAATGAAAAACCAGTCAGAGCGAATTTCATTGGTTGAAAACAGTCAGAAACAGTCAGAAAACTAGTTTCAACCAATGAAATTTACTCTGACTGGTTTGTGATTTCTGCAGAAACAGACCTATATACATGGTTTCTTTTTTATTTTGAGGAAAATATATGAGAAATAGTCTCATATTAAACATGCTAATATGAGATATGAGAAACAGTTAAAATATATGTCTCATATTAAAAATAGGAGGTCTGGCAACTCTAACCCCTTTTATCTTGGAGTAGAAAAATTTTCGAAAAAATCCCTGAAACACGTCAACTATAATTTAAAGGGGGATGTTTTTATGCAAGCAAAATTCACCTCCCTTCATTCAACTCCCCAGACCCCAGAGCCAGCCCCTAGAAAATCTTAAATGGAAAGGGGGGTCAAGTGATACATCATTTTGAAGGGTTTTTAATTCCATACATTTTTTCACCATAAGCAGGTGAAGTTGAGCTAGAGCAGTGCAGGAAGCTTATGTTTGACCCTCGTATAGAGCCAAAATTCAATGGAAAAACTCGAAAATCTTATACCTGAGAAGTGTCAAACTTTTTTGTTGCATAGAAGAAAAAGTCTCACCTGTGTCAATGTTTCACATTTGAACGATTGCTGTGCGTGGTTCTGCTGTTGCTGCTGTTGTTGTGCGATGACGGCCGCGGCCGCAGCAGCCGCAGCTACCGGACTACCCACCAATCCGCCAGACGGTTCCGGCGCCGTGGCACCCTGAGGGGACGGCGGACTGAAAGGTGGTCCCGCTCCGGGAGCGGGTGCCCCGGTCGGAGGCGGCAGTAACGGTACGGTGGCCTTTTCTTCACCCGCTTTGACTTCCCCGTTTTGTGTGGGAAAGCCAGTAGCGGGCGCGGCCGCCCCGTAGGGCGCCGTCATGCCCGTCTGGACCATGTGCTGAAAAAAAAAAGTAATTATTAGAATAGTTAAAATGATATTTTTTTTTCAATTGGTAAAGTAGTTCTATTCAGAATTTTTCTGAGTGCCTTTTTTCATAGAATCCGACTCCAAATCTCAGAATAGTTTAGTGTATGGAGTTCGGGGGATCCCAAAGGACCCTTAGGACACAAAATCTCAACAAATTTTTTTTGAAATTTCATCGTTTAAGTAAGAAGGTTACCTTATGGTTTAGATTTTGGAAAACTTCGAAAAGTCATAACTTTTTCCCTATCACAGATAGAAAGCTGAAATTTTCAGCGATTCTTATCCCAGTGGCGGACTACAATCCCTGAAAATTTCAGCTCATTTGGACTTATAGTTCCAGAAATAAAATAGCCAGCAATTTTTTTGCATGTTACAGGATAACACACACTTACATTCCTAGAAAAAAAATATATAAGTAATACTTATATTCCTCGATTAAGATTCTAAGTGCGGTTCTGAGTTTCTCTAATCAAACTGCACGCTGCATGCATTTAATTTGATTGTTTATTTTGAATAATCGATAGTTGAAATAAATTAGTATAAATTTTTGCTTTTAAGCCTACAATGTGAAAGGGGCAAGCTCTCGTGTTTTAATGAACGATTTTATGACTCCATTACTCTTGAGAAAATCCATTAAAGTATCCATTTCGTATATAGCGCATTAAAGTTTCCGGTAGCTACCCCATCAACCAATTTCATAAGAAAAGCAATATCTTTAATTTATAAAAGGTTTTGCTCGTGCGAATTAATTTCCCAAATGCATCTTTCCTTTAATTAATAATTGGATGTATTTATGAAATATGTACAGCACGGCATGCATATTAATTAATAATTTCTAATCATACTAAAAGCTATAAATATTTAGCAAAATTCGTTGAACATCTGTTCAAGGACAAAAACCAAAAGGGAATATATTTAAGGAAATTTAAACAAAAACCAAAAAGCCTTGTTGGCTAAAAACGGATCTGCAGAAAATAGCGCAGAGAAGGCAATAACCTAAGAGAAGAAAGAGCATATTTGCAGGAGAGAAAACGCAATATTTATGGAAACCGAGTTTGGTACAAAAAAGACAAATATACATGATTTGTAGTTTGGGATGTGTGTTTGCTATAAATACATATTCAACTTTATTGCTTTTTTGAACTTAAATTTACCATTCTTCATTGTATCAATATTTCTATACTTTAAGGACAAATGATATCTTTTTCAATGACAAATTTTTTGTAGATGGAAATTCTTTTCAATATTGTTCGAACTCAGTAATCTTTATCCTAACAAATACACCATGTGTGTAAAATCGATCGACTTAAATAAATGATCCAGGCAAGGGAGACCTTTATCCCATTTCCATATTTCCCAAAGGAATATTATCACATTTTTCCAAAACATTTTTTGGGAAAAGCCAAACCAAATTTTCCTATACTCATTGTGTCGAAAAGGCATTATTGAGGTCAATGGAATGCAGAAGAGAAAATTCATTCAAGTTGAATTGATGGATTGATTAAGCTGTAATTTATTAAATTATTTCCCAGGTTTATTATTTGCTTAGAAGTGGAACAAAATATTTCTGGTGGCGCTATTAAAAACTATGCAATTACAATAATTGGAATTCGGCCAATATTTCCTACATTATATGATTTGATTTATGTTCTTTATTTAACAAATGTATTCCATAACAGTTTATAAATCAAGAAACTGATCAAAATATACCAATAGTGAAGATATTCTGTGACTATTGAGACGTTTATCATTGTGACGGTCTGGACAAATGGCCAGAATCCGTCCAGGCAAAGGTGAATTTCAGGGGCCCAGCCGAAGCAGAACCTTTCCTCAATCGGAATAACCACGGAAACGTCAATTCTCATTGATTTCCCGTGATTTACCTTAATTGACTACAAGGAATAGGTAAACCGCAGGGTTCTTATTCTTGAAACAGGGAAGCAGCGTTCCCAGGAGAACGAGTATTCCGTCTTTGTCAATAATATGCAACTCTTAATATAAGTAACAAAGACGGAACACTCGTTCTCCTGGGAATACTGCTCACCGATTTCAAGAATAAGAACCCAGTACAAATAAGGTGAAATCAAGGAAAATCATTGGGAGCATTCCTAGCAATAAGCGCAACAGGAATATTGATTAAAGCATACAATCAAGAGTACAATCAAAAATCAATAATAGTATTTAAATAATTGGTAATGGAGCTTTCTCCTTTTTCAGGGCTATAATAAAAAGTATTACAACAGAAATTTTATTAAAAACAACATCGACAAATTGAAATATACAGGAACAATAAGGAAGAACTTTGAAGTCATTTATCATAAAATAAAAATGTTCCATAATTATTGTGACCAGTCCGAATTGGAATGACTGCTATATGAACATACACTCGTATAATTATTTTTTAACATGTTCCATACATTTTGAATTGTAGCCTTCTATTTCACTGGTGTCAGCGACCAGAGTAATTGTGTAATTTATCGTTTAGTTAGATTCCATTCGGTTAACTTGTCTTAATTCGGATGACGGCATTCATTTGGTCTGGTTTAAACTAAGTACCCCCTTATTAAGCGTTCCTATGACAACATCTGCGAAAAACGTTAAACAATTTCAATTAAATATCATGGAAGATTGCAAGTTTATAGTGTATATGGTCAACTATTTTTTGTTGTATGTTAAATGGGGATTTTTTTATTTATAATGCCTATAATGGATAGTCTATTCACGAGCACCAATGATTCGTACACAATATTTTATTCATAATCGAACATCCTAGCTAAATATCGATTAATAGTAAAGGTTTCAACACAAAATAGTCATATATTTGAGTTAACACTCGGTTTCATAAATATTTGATTGACCAGTTGCCATAAAGCTTGATTTTGTCCCCCACATGAACATATTTTTGTTTCAAAAAAAGAATGATTGAGAGTTTGAAACTAAAAAAATCAGCAGTAAATAAAACCAGCGCCATTATTTCTAACTATTGCGATAGTAGTTCAAAAAATTTGTATATTATCACACCAAAACTAATAAATTTTTCAACAAATCTCACTTAATCAGAATCAGAGAGCCCGGCTAGTAATCATCAATCAATCAAGCGCATAGTCGGTTGAAAATACGGATATCCAAGTGGATGATAAACGACGTTATTATAACGTTTCTTGCTGGAGCGTCGCTACTTTATTCGCCAGTAGATTTCCCAGCAATTTATATTCAACAAGAACTAATATGGGACAAAGATGGCTCTTTAATGCCTTTCTTATAAATGGAGCGTCGCTGCAGGTGAAGCCCAGTTTCGGAAATTTGAAGCTTTTTGTTTTATAGATAATATTGTCTTTGTTTGAGTTTATTACATTATGATACATGACAGACAATAATAATAATAATAATAATAATAATAATAAGTAACTTTGTAGTATTTTTTTTTTTTTTTTGAATTATAATCAACTGCTCGATTTTTATTAAAATACAATTTTATCTGTTGAGTTGACTTCAGAAAAACCTCTAAACGAACAAGTTCACGGGTATCAAGTCAGGAAATAGGAAAACGAAAAGTTTACGATAATCAATTTATCAAGAAATGTTCCGCATAAGTATGCACCGTTTGCTTAATTGCTGCCAATTTTCTGGATATCACATTCCACGTCTAGTATTTTCATCGAAAGTTTTGACTGAATCGCAAGGGACTCCAATTTGCATCGAAAAGCTGAGTGGAACATCCACGGAGTTTTCACATAAATATCTTAATGCAATCACTAACATTGGTTGGCAAAGATAGTAGTATAAAGTTCACCACCAAAGGAACTGAATTCACAAAAAAGACACTTACCAATCCACAACTTGTGTCAAACCTTTCTGCTCGACTTTGTGAGTAGTTATCCGAAAATTAAGAGCATCATATTACAACTGATGATTTAAGTATTTCCATATACATTAGTAGAAAGCTAATATTATTTATTTTCCGAAATAATAGAGAAAATTCTTAAACTCATCTCTTGATTGATTGAGTTTTTTTGTTCCTTAGCCGAATTTTGGAGTTTTCCGTACAGACATTCTCAATTCTTAAATGCTTGTTCCAATTCTCAGTTGAAGTTTTCTTCTCTTCTTTTCAAATCATCTCTTGGAGTCTATTATTGACGCGGATCTTGGATCTAGCCATCAGCTTGTAGTAAAGCGATTGTCAACTTTTCGTTAATAGTTTTAACGTTAATTTTTTTAGGTAATTTTGAAAAAGAAACTTGTATTTAATTAAATAAACAGTGGATAATTATGTGATAATTCAGTTATTTCGATTTTTGATATTCCATCAGGTTCTTTTTAGTTACCATGACCCTTATTGAAAATAACTAAGTAAAGCTTCGTTATTGGTGCAAAATTTTAAACAATTCCAAGCACGTCTGACCTCAAATTTATCCCGGACATAATTTAGAGGCGGAAAGATGCAATTTATTGGGGTTATAAATTTCAATCAGGCTCAGGAGCCGTTTTCTGAAAGATTTAGGAAAAAGGGAAAAATTTACACAAAAAAAAAAAATGAGGCTTTGATTCAATCGGGGATTTTTCCTTCTTCAAAATTATGCCTTTTGTCTACGTTTCATTCTGAAGAATGCTTTATGAGAAATAAGTAGGAATATGGAAAGATCTTATAAAAAGCTAACTTTATAAGAAGAGGAACAAGGTTAGGCACCACTTGAAACGGATTTTGAGTGTCACTCGAGAATGTACGAGATGTTTCGCCCTATTTTGAATTTAAAAAAATATGAAAGTTAATTTTTAGTTTAATATTGACCAATAAAAAAATATTATTTACTAATCGTAATATATCGGTCAATAAATTAATATTTATTAGGTAGTTATACCTACAAGTATAATATTCTTCGTATTTTTGTATCCAACCTCAACCATAATATTCAATTTATTTCTGTATAGAATAAATAATGATGGCGTGAGAGGTTTGCTTCAATGATATATTG